AAATTCACAACTCACAAGGTAGTTTCTGGTTCAAATATTATTTTATAAATTCACAACTCACAAGGTAGTTTCTGGTTCAAATATTATTTTATTGATTCACAACTCACAAGGTAGTTTCTGGTTCAAATATTATCTTATAAATACACAACTCACAAGGTAGTTTCTGGTTCAAATATTATTTTATAAATTCACAACTCAGCTCAGACTTCAAGTTGAACTAGACCGACAACTAAAACAGTGTTGATTTAATCTCAAACCATTTTAAATTAGTTTTGTGAATTAAATATTTATTTTGACTTTTGGATAAAAAATTCTGTAGATATGTTTAAAAGTTTTAGACATTAGTTTGTTAGCTGTATATTATAAACTTTAAAAAGGCAATACTTCTTGGGCCCGTTTTTTTGTTTTTGGAAAGTCAGCGAAATTATTTTTTAAGTGAATAAAGAAGCAGCAATGGTTGCAGGTAAATACCGATTAAAAGCTAGAAAGAGGGGTAAGAAGCGTCAAGTAAGCTCAGGGTGTATTACAGGGTGTATGAAAAAACTCTATTTAACTCAGCTCTTATCATAGTTGGATTTGAATAGCATTTGAACATGTTCAAATTTTATTTAATATTTCTGATCGGTTGAAAGTGACACCAATTGAACGTTTGTGTTCGTACTTCGTACTTGTAGAACTAAAAGTTACGAACATTTCAAGACTAAAATTTTGACTTGGTTGAGTTCAAAATTGTCTCAAAATAAAAAAAATCGTTTTGAAAATATAAAATCCTAGAAATATAAAATGAAGAAAAAGTTGCGGACATATGCAAAAGAGCAATACTAGAAATATGGTATAAGCTAAGCTGCGAAATGCATAGTGAACAGTGGAGAAAATTTTTTAAAGAATAGTGTTAAAAACAGTAGAAAGAACCAGGAATATTCAATTATATCATTTTGTTATATTATTCCAATTTGTCTAATTGGTAACTCTTATTGTGAATACAAAGAACAGTTTTTTTTTTGTTTTTTTTTTGATCCCGATATAAACTATTATTTGCGCCACCCTGCATATAGTTTGCACCTGACAGTATGCATGCATGCTCTCACGTAAAAATGTTTCCGCAATCTCTTGAGCTCTGTGCTTTGCTTTAAAATGTTAAAATCTATTTACATAATTATATTAAAAATGAAGAAAATTATAAAAGTTTCAGAAATGCCTGTTTTTTAATTAACCTGAGGGAATGAGCTTTAACTTTGCCAATTTCAATTAAAGTAAAAAATCTAATTAAATATTTTGCAAGAGTGGTGATTATAGCTTATACACAAAATATACAATACATAAACTGTAAACACACAACAAACAAAATATACAATACATAAGTATGTAAAAACATGACAAACAAAATATACAGTTCATAAATATGTAAAAACATGACAAACAAAATATACAATACATAAAACTGTAAAAACATGACAAACAAAATATACAGTTCATAAATATGTAAAAACATGACAAACAAAATATACAATACATAAAACTGTAAAAACATAACAAACAAAATATACAGTTCATAAATATGTCAAAACATGACAAACAAAATATACAATACATAAAACTGTAAAAACATGACAAACAAAATATACAATACATAAAACTGTAAAAACACGACAAAAGTATTCTTTTATTCTTTCCAATTCTTCGTTGTATTATCAAATGATTGTCGGCATGAAACCATGTATTCCTTGAATAGGACTAAACTAAACCGCAAACTATCATTTATTAGAAAGTCTGAACCCAATGTTGATTGGTAGAAAAGTATTCTAAATTGAATATAATCAACACAAACTTAGGAAGGTAGTATACTGAACATATTAATGATTATTTAGAATATTTCAAAGAGGGTTCTTAAAAATGAAAGCAGTTGCCATTCGGAATCATTTCCCCAACATACAATTTTTGACACGTTGTAGTAATGCCTGTAAAGGAACCTCCATGCAAAGATGGCATTGCCTGATTTACAACGGTACCATTACAAGCTTTGTCACATCAAGGATAAATAAGATTACATTTTTTTGGTTCTTTAAACTGATTATTTTCACTTTCAGGTTCTCTATGAAAGTGACTTGCGGGAGATTAATTTAATTCAAGAGTATGGGAGCACGCGGTGTCTATGTGCGCGTATTGTGCGCTTATAGTTTCAGTTTTTCTCTCAAATCCAAGAAAATACAATGTTAGTGTCATAGCAAAGCTATATTAAATATGCTTAAACTGTGCCATTCGTATGTTTAATGTTTAATGTTTAATGTCTACAGTGTAAATCTGTATAATAAAACATGACATTCGTATATAGTACATGTTGCGTATAGCCGGAAAAACGACTAAACCGATTGGCCTGAATTTTTTTTTGGTTATAGTGTATAGAGTAATGATGTACGCTAATCCTTTACCAATTGAATAGGCCATCAACTTTACCAAGAGCGTACGGCATATTTGTTTATTATAAGTAAATTCTGGCCTAACCTATAGTATATCAATAAGAGTAAACAGTTGTAAGTGTACGGTACAGCTAACTGATCACACAGGTAGAGAACTATCATCCCCCCTGATTGGATCCAATTAAAGTCAAACCGATCGAGCCCAATCTTTTTCGTTGGATCTCAATTTTATTGGAAATCCGCTGATAAAATCTACAAAATCTGCCATTATTTTTTTTCAAAATATAAAGAAAAAAAATTGAAGAAAGTGAACTTTTTAAAGCTGAAAGGGACAAAGATTAGTTCATAAGTTTTTTATCGGATTCTATCTATTCAAAACAAAGTTTGATCAAATTTATTCTATTTTCTTTGACATGCTCTGAAACCTTAAAATGCCAGTTTTAGTTGCACATAAAAAGTTACTGGCAAATAAAATTCAATTTTACAAATGAGAATTATTAAACTAATTTGATACTTCTTTTAGCTATTATTCTAATACAAATAGGACATCTCTTATCAATCTAGTTTCTTTTTACAGTAACTTAGGCAAATGTAAAACTTGTACAGAAAGAATTTTTTATCTATTAAAATTAATTATAAGCTAATCATTAAAACAAAGAACATGCCTACCATGAAATAAATGCCAGTTATTAGAATGAATAGTCAAATGTGTGACATTTCTTTGTTTTAAAAACTGCTCACCGCTTAATTACTCCTTAATTATATAGTTGATTAAACTGAAATGCAAGTCATCCTCATACATTCAGAAATAACAAAAAAAAGTTAAAAAAATTGGATTTCTATGTTTATCTGAAAACAATGATCATACAAGTTTGCCCCGAGCGCAGATGTAAAAGTAATAGAATTCATAGGATGAATAAAATCAATTATATAGTGGACCGGCTGCACCCGGTCAGCTTTCAGAATGTTTAGGCTGGAGACACAGATTTCGCAGATAGGGGTGATTTGATGATACACATTACGCCTTAAACCTTAGAATTTAGGATTAAATCTGACCTGGGATCTTTCGTTTTGGATTTTCAAACTTCCGATAACTTGATCTAGATCTTCATTGTGTTAGTTCATTGCGGACCACTGCGATCACTTCATTTCAGTTATTCTTTCAGGGAACGATTACCATGCATATGCGGAATATCAAATAAAGATTAAATTAATCTGCAGATTAAAAGAACATCAAGATCAAACATGATAGACTGGCCTTACAATCGATACAATTTTTAAATTGTAATAAACTAATGCAAAAACGCTATTGAAGTATTCTTATGATTGTACTTAGAGACCCTTTAGAAAATGTGTTTTGTATTTTCAGTGAAAAATAAATATGCTGATCTAAGGAATTGAGTTTTTGCCACGAACTCAAATTATCTGGTCTGTATAGCTTTGCAATCTGATGATGAAACCTTTAAAATTTCAACCATAAATTAATTTAAGGTTTGGAAAATAAAGATACGATATCTTCAAAAAGTGATGTATACTTTAAAATGTTTCAGTATATGCGGTGGAATTTTTAAATAGAATCTATCAGAATTCTATGAATCAAATACCATCACGCAAATCTATTTAAATCTTAGCATTTCAAGGCTATATCTAAATTCAGTGAATTCATGAATTACGCTGCAGAGACAATATAGGAAATTGTAGAATTTAACACAGATATAAAAACGACAATTTCTTCCTTCTTATTACTCAGATAAAGATGTGAAGGGTACTATTGTGAACTGGACATGCCATGTTTTTTTTAAATCTAACGTCACGTGATATTAAAAGCCAAAAACACTCTTCCCTGTTTATCAACATTTTTAGGTATGAAAACTTTATTGTTTACATATAATTTAAAACATATATATTATCTACTAAATTATTTTTTTTCAATGGTTTTATTTTGATTTAAGGTCTGCAGATGGGTATAAATACAACTTGATTCAAGTTACATTCTGGTCCAAGGTTGTATAATAAGGAAAGATACTCTGAGATCGCTCCAATTTAGGTAAAGACGACCTTTATAACAATGGGCACTCTAAATCCGCATATGGCGTCACTGCTTATTTTAAAGAATAATAAAGTTTGTGGCTCGCTGAATATAAACGAACTCAAAAACTGAAAACTTGAATTAGAATTGTATTATCTAGCTTCACACTTGTTAGCACAATCATTATTCGTTAAATGCGATAATTGTCAGTTAAGTACAGGGTGTCCCAAAAAACATGGGAATTCAGTGACGAATTGGATATCGTCTTTGTTATGAATTTGCATTGTAATACCTAATTTCAAAAGCCATATTATTATTACGTCTGCTAGAGTTTATTTTATGAAAAGGGTTAAAGACTGTAAAGATGTGTCTATAATGTCTACGCAAGATAAGCAGTGAAGACGGACAAGTTTACTCTGTTTGTATAGTGTAATTTTCTTGTTTTACTAAGTACAACCGTATGCAGTTAAAACATAAACAAACAAAATGTAAACATAGTAGACGAATATCTTACAGATTACAGCTTTCTCAGTAGGAATCACTATACTAAATCAAAGAATTGTTTAAAAAGACGATATCGAATTCGTCACTGAATTCCCATGTTTATTGGGACACCCTGTATCAAAGAGATCATATGAGGATTTAGTCTAAATTGCAATAAAGACGACATTTACATACATTGGAGCGGATCCGAGTATACCGTGTGTACAACCTTGATCTGGTCTAACACTGGTTTAACAAAACATGGTGGAAATCACAGATTTTAACATTTATTAATCAAAATTTTTAACATTTTTTTACAATTGGACATACCTTTTTTTATCAAACACAACTATAAAAATATGTTACAGAGACCTTCCTGTCAATGTGTTGACATACAATAAAGCAATATTATTTAGTTAAAAAGTTCTTTCAACAAATGCATGATTAATAGGACATATGATTAAAAATTAACTATCTCTAGTTATAACATGTGATTTATATTCAAATTTCACATGGTGATTGGTGTCATACAACTTATACATTAAAATATTAAAATATCATTCATTAAATAAAATATAAATAAACTACTTAGTAGACTATAGTAGATTAGAATACTAGAAGTATAGTAAACTGGTAGACTAGGGCTAGCAGGCTAGTTTAGTGGTAGACAAGTAGACTAGAAGAGTAGTAGACTAGCAGACTAGTCTAGTTTACTGGTAAAGTACTAGACTAGCAGACTAGTAGACTAAAAGACTAGTAGGCTAGTAGACTAAAAGACTAGTAGGCTAGTAGACTAGAAGTCTAGTAGTCTAGTTTACTAGAAGAGAAGACTAGTAGACAACTATGCCAATAGACCTGTAAACTAGTAAGCCAGTAAACTATTAGACTAGTGGATAAGTAGACCAGTGCTCAGTAGATTTGTAGACAATTGGCGATAGGTCATAGGATTAAGTAGGTTTAGTAAAGGTAGTCTTCTACGCTTCCGGATGATATGGAGTAGAAAAAGGTGGTCTACTCCTAGAGTGAATGCAGTAGGAGAAGGTAGTCAACTTCTGGAGTATATGGAGGAGGAGGAGAATTTACTCCAAGATTAAATGGAGTAGGAGAGTGGAGTCAACTCCTGGAGTATATGGAGAAGGAGGAGAATGTTCTCCTGGAGTATATGGAGTAGGATAAGTTAGTCTAATCCTAGAGTATATGGAGTAGGGGAAGAATGTACTCCTGGAGAGGATAAAGAAGAAAAGAATAAGATGATGATGATGCTGTTGGTTTATAAATAACAGAAGAGGGCGGTAAACCCGATCAAAATGCTCATTTCTAAAAACAAATATTTAACCAACTAATATTTGGAATTCTGTTTTCTTGTGCCTACAATTAAAGTTTAAAAAGTTCATGAATATATTTGCTTTGAAATAATATCTACTAACATTTTTTGTTTTATAAAAAAATAAAAATCTGTTTATCAACAAAAAATTCTAAATAGCATAAATTTTGAATTGCTTTTTGCCAATTTGACAATAATTAATCTTTCAATGGAAAAAGAAATTGCAAAGGTGTCAACTATTGTCAGGTCTGTGAGTAGTGTTTACAAATGAAACTCCAGGGTATCAGGGATGGGCCCGGCCTAATTAATCACAATAAAAACTAGTTGAAAGGATATAATTTAGCAGAAATGTTTGAAAAAGAATAATTACAGCTGGTTAAGTGTTAGTTCCTTGGTAATGAATGGTAGCAGCGCTAGCTTGATCATGCTGCATAGCGGGCAGTATCTCACCTAAACAAAATAAATATATCCGGCTCTGTCAGGAAATTAGGTATCCGGCATTGTCTGGAATTTGAATACCCCCCATTAGAAGGAACTTTCCTATCCGCATTGTTTGTAATTAGGGTAAACGGCTTTGTCTTGAAATTGGGAATCCGGCTTCGTCCGGAGATCCGATTTGATCAGGAGTTTTGTAATTCAGCTGTGTCAGTAGTTTGGGCATCCGAATTTTTGGGGTGTTTAGTTATCCGGCTTTGTCTAGAGATGCGGTATCCGGTTTTTTTTGGGGGTTTGGGAATCCGGCTTTGTCTAAAGATGCGGTATCCGGTTTTTTGGGGTGTTTGGGTATCCGTTTTTTTCTAGAGTTTTGGTATCCGGTTTTTCTACAGTTTTGGTATCCGGCTTTTGTCTAGAGACGGGTTATCCGGCCTTTTCTGAAGATGGGGCTCCGGCTTCGTCAAGAATTTTTAATTTTTCCAACTTAGGAGTTCGACGTAACTACCTACCTATCTACCAATATATCTGCATCTTTATATGTACCTATCCATCTATCTACCTATCTACCAATATATCTGCATCTTTATATGTACCTATCAATCTATCTACCTATCTATTTATAATATTACTTCTTTTTTTACATTAAAATATTTTATTTGTTTAAAAGTTTGAAATTTAAATTGAATTGAGAGTGTTCTGTGTTACAACTGATAACGTGTAATTATGTGAAAGCCCTGAAGAGCATTATAAACTTTTTCTTTCAGCTTTCGACAAATTAAGCAATATAATTCTGTTTATTCTGATGTTTTAACTTTAAAAACTGTCAAAACTTCAGATTAGTTTGGTCTTTCGGGGTTTATAAATAATCTACAGGAGCAAATAGAAAACTGTGAAAAGATCGTCGTCTCCGTTATTTCTTTTAATATGAAAAAAGATTATTCAGACATTTGGATTTGTTTTCTTCTTACTAGCAATCATGACGATCTTTTTGTATAGCTTATCTCTCATATTTATGGGTAATTACGTCTAAACTGTTATTAGCAAAACTTATTTATAAAAGACTGAAACATGTAATTATCCTATAATATCACCTCGGACCACGTGAAGTCTGACTTTAGCTTCTCCTCCTGAAGCTGGTTTACACGTGTACTCTCCATCATCTCCCCTAAACATTAATTTTATGCAAATTAATTCATAATTAAAATAAGACTTTAATCCTTTAGTTAAACAGTATTCAATTATCCACAATTATTAAGACATTCCTTAAATAATTTTCATGTTAAAGGAAGAATTAATAAAGAGACTGTAGCCGTAATGCAAAGATGGTAATGCACAATTCACAGTGGTACCTTTAAAACCTTTGTCTGATCAAGTATAAATTAGATATCAATGTTTATAATTTGGAAAAATTATTTATTAATTTGCGGGTTCTCTACAAAAGTGACATGCAGATTTCTTCTGTAGGAATTCTTATAAAATTTATATTTTTAAACCTAGAAAAACGACATTATCTTCAACAGTATTGATCAGAAAATGATACAAGGGTATATAACCACGCACCTCTGACCCTTCAGTAAAAGTAAATTCAACCTAAAGTCTGACCGCGTCAACCTTGTTGCACCGGCTAGTCCTATTGAGTGTCTGCTTTATTTACCCAATGTCTGGGCGATACAGTACAAACTGGGACTGGAAAGGTTGACTCGGCTGGGAAATTTAAATCTACTACGGCTGCCCGTGGTACCGTTTTCATAGAGGGTCCCTTGAAATTACCGTCCCTGTAGAATAAAACAATATTAAAGAAATATGTTTAGGACAAAACTACAATTTACAATATATAAATTTATATTTGTTGATGAATGCGTGATTAATAAACAATATTCGTAGTTTATTTCTTTTCATAATCTTACAAACCAATTATACAATAAAACAAGACATTTGTACATATGTTCCCTATAGCCGGCCAAGCGGCTGGACCGAATGGGCTGACATTTTTTGTGGACACTCATGGGTATCTTGGGGGTGTTATAGGCTTAACGATAAAAAATTCAAAATTATTTTTAAAAATAAATTCCACTGGCAACGCCGGGCCCTTGAGCTAGTGTTGATTTTAATAATATTACAATATTTGTTGTTATATTTCTCTGATTTGAATAAATAACAATATTGTAGTGCAAATAAGGCCGCGTATTCAGCTCTATTTTGACAAGTAAGTAAGGAAATAGCAGTCTTTCATTTAAGCACAAAAATAAACTGTTCACATAGCAAAATATTTAAACAAGGCAAAATAGCTTTTTATTTTTTTTTTTGTAAAAATTAAGTTACTACAGTTCCAACCAATCGATTTTTACCAAAAGTAAAATGTTTTACCGCCTTTTCACCAGCATTACCGACCTAGGAATCCCCCATCAGAGGGACGCTAAGTTACTTCACGTCCCATGGGACAATTGAGTAAAATATCGACCCACTCTGCGAAGTTTCGTAAAAAAAACGCACATTTTCATCTCAAAAGACGATAAAATTGTGCACAACAACTTTTTTCGGGAAATTAAAATTTTTACTTAACCACGGATTCCCTCGACCAATTTTGCCTATAAAACATTCCTCGCTGGAGCGCTCTGGATGTTTTATAGGCAAAATTGGTCTTGGGAACCCTTGGTAAAATAAAAGTCCCTTAACTTTCAGTGTAAAGTAGCTGTAACTAATCATTACACAATTCTCAAATGTTCGCGAGACAAATTTTCAAAAACTTATTGTTCTTCACCTTTTTTATAAAAAAACTCTAAAATGATTAGAAAAACTTATTGTTCCCCATCTTTTTTATAAAAACTCTAAAATGATTAGAAAAAATTATTGTTCCCCATCTTTTTTATAAAAACTCTAAAATGATTAGACAAACTTATTGTTCCCCATCTTTTTTATAAAAAACTCTAAAATGATTAGAAAAACTTATTGTTCCCCATCTTTTTTATAAAAAAAAAACTCTAAAATGATTAGAAAACTTATGAGCAGAACATTATATCAAGTTTGATAAAAATATTAGTCTGAGCCTGAAATAACATTAATATGTTTACCACCTTTTTACCATGACCTACATGACCTATGATTCCCCCAACAGAGGGAGGTTAAATTACTTTATGTTCCTTAAATTCCCTTAACGTCCCTGTAGGCTGTAAAGCATAGTTGTAAATAATTATAATTTAATCTTGGAAAAAAATTTAAACTTTATTTACTCAATTTAGAAAGTTGTTATGACCAAGGTCACGTGAAACAAGGTCACGTGATACAAGGTCACGTGATACAAGATCACGTGAAACAAGATCATGTGAAACAAGGTCACGTAATACAAGATCACGTGAAACAAGGTCATGTGAAAAAGGTCACGTGATATAAGATCACGTGAAACAAGGTCACGTGATACAAGGTTAGGTGAAACAAGGTCACGTGATTACCTGTTAACCTCGTCAATAGTAAGAATACTGATAGCTGTTCTACCCCCCTCCTGTACTCCAGTTCTAACCCTTAATCTTCCCCCGCTCTCCTCAACCAATCTAGATCCGGACCTGTACCTGGAATATTATAATATATGATAATAAAAATGATAATAATGATAATATTTATAATATTCATCATATCGATATGTTACTGATAATGAAAAAACACTAATAATAATAATAATGATGATAATTACAATTTTCTTTATAAAATTATGATAACTACAATAATAATAATGATGATGATATCAACGCAAATAATAATGTAATGATAATATAATTGATGATAAGAATTATAAGTAATGCCAAATTTGTTTGAATCCATGAATTAGCCAAAGTATTTTTTCAAGGTATCTCTGAAGAAAGTGTATTTAGGCAAGCCTACTAAACATCCTATGCATTGTGTTAAAAAATGCTCCATTCTGGAACAATATCCATAGATGAGAGGGGGGGGGGGAGGGGGTCGTCTATGAAATATTTTTCTGTAAAATTCCGTTTTAACCATGAACATTTGGCCAAATATTCGGAAATGTGCTCGGTCCCATTTCCGAATATTTTAATTGCGTTTTTACCCAATAGGCACTAAACCTCGTTTTATTCTACTAAACACTAAACAGTGTCACAGATAAAATACCCATAAATTGTAGGGGGGGGGGGGGCGTCGTTGAAACATTTTTTGCCTTCAAAATGTACTCGAAATGTAGTCGGTCCTCTTTTCCAAAAGTTTTTAAAAAATTCAAAAATCTTTTTTCGTCATTTATTTCTAAAAAAATCCTCAATGCGCAACGTATTCTATTTTGTCGTATAAAACGTGAAAATAAAATTATAATCTAAATTTTTTGGAAAATAAGTGTATAATAGACAAATTACATTTTCGAATATTAGGTCTACTTTTGAAGGTTAAAACGGCATTTTAGAGAAAAAACTTTCATCGACGACCCTCCCATTCTGGATCATCACAACGATGTTTCGTAAGTTAGAAACACACTTTTCAGAAACACCCTGTATATATTAGACTTCAGCGCTAGTTATGGTATACTTGTGAAGAAGAATGTATCTAAGGTTGAAATATATCTACAAAAAGAAGATTAATATGGGAATATTTCCAGGTTTTCATGAAGAAAATTCAATCTAACCCTGCACTGCACCTCAAACTTTGAATTATTATTTAAAGGGACAGTTAATAGGCGTAATTTTAATTTTTGCAAGTTAGATTCACAACAGTAACCATTAAACCTTTGACTGATCAAGGATTACGGATTTACACCAACGCTTTTAACCATTTTAACACTTGGTTGGTTGATGTTTTTTATTAAAAAAATATGATAATGTTTATATTTGAATTTTAAAACCTAAAAGACATACAATACATAGAATTTATGTAACGTCAGTTTAAAGACAAACACAAGGATTCGTATCATCAGTCAAAGGTTTAAATAGTACCATATCAGGAATTTTTACTCTTTGCATTAAGGGCGTCTTGAAACCCCGCGTACAGTCCCTTTAAAATACTAAAAATATCGATTGAGAAAAATTTAATAAATATGGTATTGTCTAAGATGGGTTAACGTGTTTACGGTCAATAGTATAAAAGTAAAAAGAAAAGCTTCAAACAAAACTCAACAGTTTCTCATTAGCATATGTATGTATAGACTGTTCTGATGGAAATTATGAAAAATTTCCAAACTTGGAGAAAAAATGAAAATTTGCATAATTCTTTGGCACTCAGGATTCTTCTTTCCCATCTCCACTCACCTATCCATCATACTCGGTTCCGGGGAAGAGAGAGACGGACATTTTATTCTACTTTTATATTATTTTAGCCTTCAGGGTGTATCCCAAAAAATCATAGGAATTAAGGGAAGACGATATTATTGGCTTCCATTTTTTACATCAAATAGATGATAAAATGAATGTGAAAAAAAAATAATTTTCGCCTTCTTAGTAATTAAAAATTGGATAAGAGTCTTATTTCAGGACGAAAATATCAAAAATGTTGTAAATTAGGTAGACCACACTTAGGATAGCCCAGTGTTCCTAGTTTTAATACAATCCTCACCAAATTTACGAACTAATTCAAAGTTAGTTGAAGACGGTTAAAAATTCGTGACTCAAATCCCATGTACACCCTGTACTTGCTTTAGGTACTCACCAGAATTCATAGGTTGATTCCTTCAAGTAGTAGAGCTATTGTACACTACTAGCTCTAGGTACTCACCAGAATACATAGGTTGGTTCCTTCAAGTAGTAGAGCTATTATACACTACTAGCTTACTGTACTCACCAGAATACATAGGTTGGTTCCTTCAGGCAGTAGAGCTAATATACACTACTAGCTCTAGGTACTCACCAGAATACATAGGTTGATTCCTTCAAGTAGTAGAGCTATTATACACTACTAGATCTAGGTACCCACCAGAATGCATAGGTTGGTTCCTTCAAGTAGTAGAGCTAGTATACACTACTAGATCTAGGTACTCACCAGAATACATAGGCTGGTTCCTTCAAGTAGTAGAGCTATTATACACTACTAGATCTAGGTACCCACCAGAATGCATAGGTTGGTTCCTTCAAGTAGTAGAGCTAGTATACACTACTAGATCTAGGTACTCACCAGAATACATAGGTTGGTTCCTTCAAGTAGTAGAGCTAGCATACACTACTAGATCTAGGTACCCACCAGAATACATAGGTTGGTTCCTTCAAGTAGTAGAGCTAATATAAACTACTAGCTCTAGGTACTCACCAGAATACATAGGTTGGTTCCTTCAGGCAGTAGAGCTGATATACACTATTAGCTTACTGTACTTACCAGAATACATAGGTTGGTTCCTTCAGGCAGTTAGCTATAACACACTTGAGATGAACTGGGGACCCAGACATAACATGCTTCTCCGTATCTCCGTCCACGGATACAGATGGTACTAAAGGGTTTAAACATTAATCTATATAATAGAGCTCTTCGCTCATAAATATCTTATAAAAACCTTTGCTACGGGAAAAGTTATAATTTTCGAAAACAAATCTTTTTTTACAAAAACTACGTATCCCATCCTAATACTGGACAAACTACTAACCAGTGAATTTATGGCAAAAACTCAGTTCCTTTAATAGTGTTTTAGTCCATTCTTCACAATCTTTTAAATTTACAAAGTTTTTTATTCATTTTTTTTACATAAATGCATCCACTAACAAAAAGGTAAAAAATGAGAAAAAAAGTCTATATCTTATAAGGAATAAGACAAAATCACTGTAAAATTTGTATTAATTTAAGTATATAATTTAGTTTTAAATAGAATAAAGTTTATTTCCCCCCTTTCTTACATAAAAAAAAATAATCTCCCCATGATTTCTATATTGACAAAACCTGATGATTTTTCAATAAAGTTTTACAATATCAGAGGAAAATTGGTAAACATTAAGACAAGGTCTACACTTTAATACAGTTTATTATAATCAAAGTTTCGAGCTTTTGTTGAATAAACAAATCCCCCAAGGAATTGTACAAGGAACGGAAATGTTTACATAATAAGAAAGAAGATATATTCATTATTCTGGTTAAAAAACGTAAAATTCTGGACAAAGGAATTGAGTTTTCGCCACAAACTTAAATTTTCTAATCCCAATATCTTTGAAACCAGATGATGTAAACCGATGTTATTTCAAACTTAAACTATTAGATCTAACATAATTCATAGTTTGAAATATCAAAGGTCTCCGACATTTGGGTTGCTAAGATATAGGGGGAAACAGTTAGAGTTTGTGGCAAAAACTTGTTTCCTTTTTTTTGCACCTCTATGGGTGGGTAACTTTGAATTAAGCCAAAAAAACCAAATTTACTTAATTTGAGAGGTTGCTAAACTACCAACCGCCGGTTCAAATCTTAAATAACTGATTCAAGTCCTCTTTGAATCGATGATTGAGAATTTGCACCGGCGACTTCTCTCTTCAACTCATTAAATTCCATACCCGTTCCTTTAAATTCCATACCCGTTCCTTTAAATTCCATACCCGTTCCTTTAAATTCCATACCCGTTCCTTTAAATGCCATACCCGTTCCTTTAAATGCCATACCCGTTCCTTTAAATTCCATACCCGTTCCTTTAAATTCCATACCCGTTCCTTTAAATTCCATACCCGTTCCTTTTCCATACCCGTTCCTTTAAATTCCATACCCGTTCCTTTAAATTCCATACCCGTTCCTTTAAATTCTAAACCCGTTCCTTTAAATTCCGTACCCGTTCCTTTAAATGCCATACCCGTTCCTTTAAATTCCATACCCATTCCTTTAAAACTACTTTTTAACAAAAAAAAATTCTTAAAGTTTACCTACAACTTTCAATGAGAATACTTGGCTGATTTTTGGGTTTGTTGAAACCTGACATTCAAACTTGCCAGCATCAGTAGCAGAGGTAAACTTTAGTCGCAGGGTAAAATCTCCAATCCTGAAACAAACAATTATTTTCTTTTTTTTCTCGCATATTTCCCTATTTTTTCCACATATTTCCTTATTTTTTCCCCATATTTCCCAATTTTGTCCCATATTCCCCTATTTTTTTCAAGGTTTTCTTTTACTTTTTCATAAAAATGATTAGTTCTATAAATTGCCTTTTTTGTTATTAAAATGTTTTCATGTAACTGTTTAGGACTGATGAGGATATTAAAACATATTTTATTTCCAAACCCGAGTTTTCTATCTTCAAGAGTGAAAACCTTTTTTTGCCAACAAGGACAAAAAGTTGTATTGTGTAATTAGAAAGGAATTCAGTTTTCCCCGAAACTAAAATTTTCTAATCCCAACATCTTTGCAACCTGGTGGTATAAACCAATGATCCAACAGAATTTATTGTTCGAATTTTCAAATGACTAAAACATCGGGTTGCAAAGATATGGGAGCCAGCAAATCAGAGTTTGAGCCAAAACCCAAGAGAATAGAATATATATTAGAGTGGAATTTTGACAATATCTCGGTATGACTTTTGTCAGTCCCTTTCAGCCTGAAAGGGAGTTCAAAGTATACAAATCATGTAAATGTTCACTAATTATATGCAGTAGAGTACATTAATACAGTATGCTCCCTAGACTATCCATTTCAATTTCAAATTTTTTAAAGCTGTTAAATAAACTTTATAAAATGAATTAGGTGAATAAAAACATCATTTGATTTATATTTATAACGCAAAATCATCGTTTGTAAAGTAGAAGGTATAGAGTCTATGTGAAATGATCTTTGGTCTGTTATGAAACCAGCCTATTTCATAATTTGGTTTTCTTTTAATATTAATTTTAGATTTTCTATTAAATGATGTTCCAGGTTATATAGCACACATATGTGAAGTACACCTGCAGTATGGAAACAGTACAACAAAATGGCCGTTTTACACTTTTTCCTAGTAAGTTCCACTCTAATAAATTCTATTCTCTTTGGCCAAAACTCAATTCCTTTCGAGTTCAAAATTTTTAAAAAAAGTAATGATTTGATTTGAAAAAGTTGGATTTCTTGTAAAACCGCCTCAATCTGATTATTATCAGTATTGACAATCTTACTTTATTGGTTATTGGGTTCTTAGGATATTAACAGCCGCACTGAACCTTTTAAACTAATATTCTAACAGAAGCAATTCATAAAAAAATTATAAAACATTTGGATCTTGTAACAAAAGCTCATATTGCTAGTTTACTTAATGTATTTTTCGAGCTCAGACATTAAATTCTTATTTTTCTATTTCAGACATTATATTCTTATTTTGCTATTTCAGACATTAAATTCTTATTTTGATATTTCAGACATTAAATCCATATTTAATTGTTGGTTAGTCCAGATCTTGATTACCAGAGGCAATGTTTCGTTTGTTAACTGTATATCTTATACCTTCTCATTATACAATATCTTATTTATTCTATATTCATCTATACATTAAATGCAAAAAAGGATTATATTCAGCTAAAAGAGCTGCTTTTTACTTATGATTTGTTAAAAGGAAAATGATAATAATAAGATAAAGGATTTAGCTAAACAGTTACCATGATAATTCATGTTTTCTAATCCTCATTTATCTGCAACCTAATCTGTATATAATTTGCTTTTCTGTGTTGGTGTTTGTGTGTAATTGTATCCAATAAACGTCAAAACGACTAAACCGATCGGGCCAAAAAATATTTGGGGACCTCACGTGACCCCACGGAAAGTTTATGGATGATCGAATTTTCAAAAAATCTACTTCTAACAAAACTCGAATTTTGAAAATTTTGCAAATTCGCAATTTTTTTTAAAATCCAGGAAATTTTTGTTTCACAATTGAAAAGGGAAATGAGTGCGAAGTGCCCTTTGAGCCTACTAGTGTAAACTTTTTATATTTTGATCTTAAACTAAAAATAATAATGGTTTATGACGTCAGGTTGGAAAGATATATTGTTTGGAAAAAAATTAAATTTTGTTTCTTAAGCATATATATAACTCCTAAAGATTACAGTGAATCCAAGTTTAGTGTAATACCGTGGTTTAGATGTCGTTTACTATCCAGTACATTACATGACAAAGCTGCCATAACACATTGCAATTTACTATTTCTGCTTTATCATCAATACATAATTACCACAAAATTCTGCAAAAAAACAGGATTTTGTAAAAATAAACACTTAGGACGTAATTCTAGGTGACCCTATATTTATAGAGTTATAATTACGATTCACAGAGGCACCCTTCACATCCTTATCTCAGCAAATATGACAAAGATATCCAAGTTTTCATGAAATTATTGATTGTCCGTTAGTTCCGCCATTTTTGCGCGGTTTTAAGTAGAAGGAACAGGAGGAAGGAAATAAATAGATTAAACTCTATTTAAAGGGACAGACCGCCTATGTAAGGTAGTTAAACTGAGTATGCAGTGTTGTGGACAAATTCTTTAGGATTCATTTAAGACATATTAAACGTTTCCACGACGTATAATTACTGCATTTGAGTGGGTATATTCTCAAAATCGGTATTTTTTAACTTTTAAATAACGACGACGAAAAATGTCGTGAACATTCTATAGTAAACTAATGAGATGTTTAGGAACATATTTCTCAAAAGAAATTGGTCAATAAATCGAAGTTAGAATTAATTATTTCCTTTTTCATCAGTATATATTGAATTTCTTATTTTCTATGAATTTGTTCGCAGATTTCTTTAAATTCTTCAAATGTCGTCTTTTTGTAAAAACTCCAGAAAATCTGCTAAAAATCTTTTTGATTAAAGAGAGATTATATAAACTAATAATTTAACAAGATTACTTATTTTCGATGATAAATGTTATTTTTATTTTATTTTCTTAACCTGTTCCTAAACAACTAATTAGTTTACTGTAATAATTAAAAAAAAAAAAATTCTGAAAACTTATCTTACCAAAAGTACGATTTTGAAAGTCGACTTTGCGCTGAAACTCAGGATTTACAGATTTTTAAAAAGTTTTATATGTCTCAAATGAATACGAAAGAATTTGTCCACAACACTGCATACTCAGTTCAACTATCATACAATGCCGGTGTGTCCCATTAAGAAAGAAACACGGCAATATTTTTCTTAATTCTACACAGACAGTTGGGTGCCACAGTTAGTCGGACATGTAACATTGTAACATGTGACATTGTAACATGTGACACATGTGACATTGTAACATGTGACATTGTAACATGTGACATTGTAACATGTGACATTGTAACATGTAACATTGTAAAATGTGACATTGTAATATTTAACATTGTAACATGTGACATTGTAACATGTGATATTGTAACATGTGACATTGTAACATATGACATTGTAGCATATGATATTGTAACATTTGACATTGTAACATGTGATATTGTAACATGTGATATTGTAACATGTGACATTGTAACATATGACATTGTAACATGTGGCAGTCCTGTTAATGGTGACATATACGGTACAACAAATTGATGAGATTATTTACCTATTTGAGATGAGTTCAAATCTGTCGTCGTTTATATATTTCTCCTTCCCAATGTAAATAGGATATCCATCTAAACTTCTCATCCAGGATACCTGAACAGTAAACATCATCCAACAATAAACAGCTGTTCATCCAACATCAAACAGTTGTTCATACAACATTAAACAGTTGTTCATTCAACCTTAAACAGTTGTTCATCCAATATCAAACAGTTGTTCATCCAACATTAAACATTTGTTGATCCAACATTAAACAATTGTTAATTTAACATTAAACAGTTGTTCATCCAACATTTAACAGTTGCTTATCCAACATTAAAAAATTGTTCATCCAACATTAAAAAGTTGTTCATCCAACATTAAACAGTTGTTCATTTAACATTAAACAGTTTTTCATCCAACATTAAACAGTTGCTCATCCAACATTAAACAGTTGTTCATCCAACATTAAACAGCTGTTCATCCAATATTAAACAGTTGTTCATCCAACATTAAACAGTTGTTCATTTAACATTGAACAGTTGTTCATCTAACATTAAACAGTTGTTCATCCAACATTAAACAGTTGTTCATCTAACATTAAACAGTTGTTCATCCAACATTAAACAGTTGTTCATCCAACATTAAACAGTTGTTCATCCAACATTAAACAGTTGTTCATCCAAAATTAAACAGTTGTTCATCCAATATTAAACATTTGTTCATCCAACATTAAACAATTGTTCATTTAACATTGAACAGTTGTTCATTTAACATTAAACAGTTATTTATTTAACATTGAACAGTTCTTCATGTAACATTAAACAGTTGTTCATATAACATTAAACAGTTTTTCATCCAACATTAAACAGTTGTTCATCCAACATTAAACAGTTGTTCATCCAACATTAAACAGTTGTTCATCCAACCTTAAACAGTTGTTCATCCAACATTAAACAATTGTTCATCCAACATTAAACAGTTGTTCATCCAACATTAAACAGTTTTTCATCTAACATTAAACAGTTGTTCATTTAACATTAAACAGTTGTTCATCCAACATTAAACAGTTGTTCATCCAACATTAAACAGTTGTTTATCCAACATTAAACAGTTGTTCATCCAACATTAATAAAACTTAAATGGATGATTTATTTGATTTATTTGGTGTACTGTCCCGCTTTGCCATCTATAATGTGTATGTATGCTGTACACTGTACAACTTGTGGTATAAGTTGGTCTCAGGGAGCAAGGAATAGAAGGGAGAGACAACTGACGCGGTTCGCCCTACCATATGATTATACATGCTTTGCAGACGGTACTCCATTTTATATCGAGCTGTTTGATTTTTTAGTAGGGCCCCACAGGAAAAATATGTATTGGCTCAATTTTCTTACACCAGTTTCGCCAATACATATTTTTCCTGTAGGGCCCTACTAAAGAAACCAAACAGCTCGATATAAAAT